TCTCTTGGTTTGTGATCCCATCACTATCTCTCATGGCCACCATCCGTCACCAGCCTGTCATTCATCTCATTTGGAACGGTGAAAGGGACGGACAAGAGCGGAAAGGGAACGAACGGATAGAACGAGAAGAGATGCGTACTATTCAGACTCTTTTTCTCGTCCGCATGCATCCACCATTCCTTTCTTGTTTTTCAACCCCTATTAACTGTTGACCTGGAAATCCTCTAAACAAGACATGCAAATGGACACCACATAAAGAGAAAGAGAATCAGAGATACAAGAAACGACAAAGAGATGACCGGCAAACCATTCCCATCCCAATACTTGCCTTGGGGGACCTACAAGAATCGGGTGGGAGAAATAGAATGTGGAGATGATATAATATCCAATCCCTTTCTTTTTTTCATTGTCTCTCTTTGATTCATGTTCTTTTCCAAGATTTAATGGTTGACAGGAGATTGGTAGCTTCTGAGATATAGCTCCTCCCAAAACCCCGTGATTTATTCTTTGGCTGTTTATCACTCTTCCCCTTTTCTTTCACGATTCACCCATCTCTCCACTCCGGATGAACGGCTATACTTGAGCAGGAAAGGATGTGAATGAGATCTCCTGGTCACTCACCCTTGGATCTAGTCCTTCACGGGTTCCGGCTGCTTCCCATGGAATCTTCTCCAGTAAAGATTTCAAGGGTGGGAGAAGATGGACCTGGGAAAAGCGGGTGCCTGCCTCTTGCGTCTTCGGCTACATCCCAGTCCGTGCTTTCATTATCCCATTCTGGCTGTTATCATTCCTCACTCATCTCCTCTCTCACACCCATCCACTTTCAAGCCTATCAATCATCAACAGTGGGTTTCAGGAACCTACCCTCAACGGGATTGTCTTGCAGGTCCGCGAAAGCAAAGAGTTTCTACTTGCGCGAGCAAGTTAACAGACTGAAATCACGATTTATTGCCATGATTGCTTCTGATACATTTAAACATTTTCTCCAAGAAATGGAGCCCTCAAGGGGTGTCCACCTCGTCCACGGTAATTAATGCAATTTCCTATACAATCTTTCTTCCAGCCATGTTTGGGCGGCACCCTTTGTAGGACTGCTCCTGGTTGCCTGAAGGTACAGAATCCACCAACTGGGGCCCCCCTTTTATGCATTTGGGCCCGCGGCCGCTTTCCGCTTCCGCTTGGTCTCGAGCCCTTTCAGAAGCCGTCAGGAGCTTACAACATCAAAGATTTGAGCACCGACAAGCGCGGAGGCACGGCTGAAGCGCTATGTTAGACCCAGGAGCTACCAGCTGTGCTGTCAGGGTGGTCAAAAGATGAGAAGCAGTTTCGGAAGATGGAAGGCATGGGGCCTGTTGATGGGCCTGGTCCCAACGAATACAGTGTGCCGTTCGCCTCTTGGCAGAGATGCAGGGCAGAACGCAGAATAATGAGAGAGAAAAGATCACGATGATCTGCTTTGGGCTACCTCTTTGTCCAAGGAAAGGCTTGGTTGGGGCGTCAAGTTTCGTGGCCGCTTGGCTCCTCCTAAGGAGGCGCGCAGGGTGATTTTATTTTTTGCCGGCATTGTCCATCACTTGTGCTTGTTTAGCTAGCTTGTACATTTGCAGAACCTTCGCAGGAGCTGAAGCCGGCAGCTGCAGACTACTACCCAATCATGGACCTTGTGACACACTGCACTGGTGTGCCAAAGCCGCTGCCGCTTGGAGCACGATCTCGGGCGTCAACCAAAGCATTTGTAGACAGAGTCTTTCTGATTGTTTTCTTTGGTTGCGCGCGTTTGAGCTGGTGTCTCAGCTTGAGACCCTGTTTGGTGGCTGTTGACACCGAACCGAAAGGAAGCCAAATTCATTGAAGGCAGGGGCCTGCTGCATTGTGCAGGCACCGCACGACAGAGCGGCGCAGCATTTTCGATGTCAGTGCTGGCGGTCACGAGGGTGTGGCAGAGGCCAGGGCTAAACAACATGAATTGGGCAAGTTGCTTGTGAGCTGCTCGCTTTGCGCAGGCGCTGTTGAAGAGGGCGTTGAAGAGCTTGGAGGAGAATGGTCAGGGGGCGGCAGCTTCACTGCAGTTGGGGGAGACTTTGCTTCAAATTGTTTTTCTGTCGCACTTCTGGGGAGAGTGGAGTGATGATGATCCAAGGCCGAGCCACAGAAGCTGTCTAACAAGTGCCCCAACTCAAGACACAGCTGTGGACCTGCCAGGCAATCGACGCTGGCCAGTGTGTCCCTTTAGTTGTCTTTGCCAAAGCAGTTTGTGAAGAAGGTGCAGGCCGCCTGGACCAAGCATTTATCACCATGTTGGGAGAGGTACGAGAGCACTACTCCGAGCTGGTCAATGCCAGCGCGGCGAAGCGAGAAAGTACGCGAGGCACACCATTTTCAGGTGACTGTGCGCTGCAACGATTGCGTGTTGGACGGCACGTGCATTGCTTGCATCGATGATCAATCGTTGTTGGCACAGCCCTCAGGCTTCTTGCGACAATATGTACGGCCCATGGTCGTCCATTGACTAAGAGGTCGAGAATTACAAACATAGAGCCGGAATGATGACTAGAAGCAAGTCAAACAAACTTGTCAAAAGATATTGAGTTGATTTATAGTATGCTAAATTCCATTTAAATGTCAAGAGCTACAATGGTCATGAACTGTCCTGGCTGGATTGGTTTGCAATTTGTATGGAGGTACCAGCACCCTCCAACTGTTGCCCAGGGTGCAGTAGATAGAATTTTCCAAAAAAGACCGTAGTTACAGAAACTACTGTTAGTTAATTTATTTGCGGGATGCCCATAGTCCAACTACTGCTACTGTAGGGGTGGCAAGTGCAGCAAGCGCCTCACAGCGTGTAACCCACCTGTCACCGAGTGTCACCTGCGTGTCACCCCTCACTCGCGTGTCACCCCGTGGCACCTGCGTGTCACCCCGTGTCACCTGCGTTCCCCCTTGTCGTCCCCGTGTCTCCCCCCGTGTCAGTATGCTAGAACAACGGTAGATCGCTGCGAACAACAGTAGTTTCACCCCGTGTCACCCCGTGTCGCCCCGTGTCGCCTGCGTGTCACCCCGTGTCGCCCCCGTGTCCGTGTCACCTGCGTGTCATCCCGCGTCGCCTGTGTGTGAAATCCCGTGTCGCCTGCGTGTCACCCCGTGTCACGTGCGTTTCACTCAGCGCTACTTGCGTGTCACCGTGGGCGTGGGAAGGGGTAGGAATATAATTTTGTTTTTACTGTTTGGGAAAGAACGTGAAACTACCGTAGATCAGGGGTCTACTGTCTTCTTTTTAATTTTGGAACTACTGTTATAGACTGTATTGACGAAAACACAGTAGTTACGAGAATTCATGTTTTTAAGAAAAAAGTAATCGGAGGGCGCTGGTATGCTTTGCTATGTGTGTGGGGGTTCCTGAGTGTTGGGGGGTTATGAACGATATGTTAAAATAGATATGTATAGAAAAAGGACAAGATTGTGTTGGGTTGTTGATGCGGATGTTGTTTGGTGTTGGTTGAAGGGGTGTTTGGGTATTTAAGCGCTGAGGTGATTGAGATGTTGTTACGTAGTCCAGGTATTGTTGGTTTAGGTCTAGGTGTTGTGCCCGTATTGCTTATAAAAGGTGTTCATTTGATGATCACGAAAGCTAGCTCCTTGGAGAAGGGCTGATGTTTTTCGTTTACCTCAGCTTGCTGAGAAGGGGCGGTCGGAAAGCTTGAGTTAGGCATTGGGGCTTGAATTCTCACTGGTCGTGGGGGGGGGGGGGCCTCCTTTCCAAAGGACTAGGCCGAGCAAGTGTGTGTGCCTTGCAGGGGTGCCTTAAGTGAAGTGAGGGCAGATTGGAAGTGCATGGCTGAAATCTTCCACCTGCCATCCTGGAACCACAGGCAAGGAATTGTCCAGAAGTGCAATGCTACACCACAAACATTTAAGGATTTTTCCAGCAATGCCACCTGGAGAAGTCAAAGGGTGGATCACTGGCAATTTTTGCAGACGCAGTTGGAGCAGGGCAAGCCAGTGAGCAATATTTACTTACCACTGCCCCTTGTTCAAGACAGATTGCTTCAAGTTGGAATCGCTGCGCATTGTGGACCTTGGGGTGGCCTGCCACACTTTGGGCAATCTATTTTGGCATCTGCTGACGAAAATGAAGCTGGATCACTTGTGATTGCTGATGGCATTTCTTGCTTGACAGAAACCATGATCAGGCAGTCTCCCACTTCCAGCCCAAAGTTGAAAACCAGAGCTGCAGAAACCAGGGCATTGGTCCCCTTTGCTCACCAACGGGAGCAATGGAAGAGAGATCGCCGCTATTTTCTGCAGTCCTTCATGTCAAGCGACAGATCCGACTTGGCGGCTCACTATCGAGCAGATTGGAATATCCCGCAGACAAAAACAAGTCAACGGAAGAAAGCGAAGCAGAGGCGGAGACGGTGTATCCCAGGACGCGGTGAGCGAATCTTCACGGCGGTCAGGAGAGACAGTGGCCCCCGAGAGACACGTATGGTTCCAAGAGGTCCTTGAGCGCGATGATGGCGAAGAGGCGGATACAAGTCAGAGACCCGCAGCGTAGAGCAACGCCCATCGATTCCAAAACCTACAAGACGCGACCATCGGCGACTACTGGCTTATGGTCGTCACAAAGCATTGGTCAGAGCTGAGCGAGGGCCAGTGACAGGTACAGGACTCACATGGTACCCGTGAACGACAAGTGCACTTTCACATTCAGACACGATAAGGAAGTGGACAAGGTTGTCGAGGGCGTCGCGCAATGGAAGGAGAAGCATGGACGACCATCCACATGTTTGCACTGTCGGCGAGTCAGAGCAAAGGGGCGAAGTGGCTGACCAGATTTGATCGGCAGCAGCTGGGAGTTAAAATTTCCCAGAAGATGACAAGATTGTCTTCCAGAATGGTGCAACATCTACTCTGGATATGACGCAGTACTACGTAGAAGAGCTGAAGGAGACAGTCCAGCCGTATCCTGGAGGAGACGCCAACGGTGTTGTTTATTGGTTGTCGGTGTGTGGAATTCGCCTCTACCTTTCATGATCGCTCACTTGCGTGTCAAGGGCGACATACCCTATCTGGTCGGCAACAGAAGCATGAGAAGCGACCGCCGTCGGCTCAATGTTGAGGGTATAGCTGCATGTGTGGAAGATATAAAGGGGATCACGGGACACGATGAGGAAGAAGAAGACAAGGAGGAGAAGTCAAAGCTGGATATGGAACATGATGATGGGGCGCTTCAAGCTCTCGTCGGAGAAGAAGAGGATGCTGTTGAGGAACCGCCTGAAGCAGAGCATGATGGTGAACCGCACATTTGATTTTGGCCCGCCCGGAGGAGCGGTGCCTGTGGAAGAACAAATTCTGTGACTCGTGTGAAGGCAAAGAGATCAAGACCCGGAGCGTTCCCGTACGGGAAGTCAAGTCGTTCGGCGGCCTGATCACGTTTGACTTGGTCGAAGCCTCCGGTCACGGGCTGCCCGACCGGAAGGAAGAATACTACGACGGTGATCAGCAGCATCAAGCGTTTCCCGGGTAGAAGACAGGAGGATACGCCGGAGTTCATTAATGCTTATTCAAAATTGAAGATACCGCGTGACTTATCTCCTCCTGAAAAGAAACAGAACAACTCGCTTGCGGAACGCCTGAACCACATGGTGGATCACACCACTTGTCTTGCACACGCAGGACTGCCGACATGCTATTGGATGCGTGCCATCACCACGCTACGTCACTTGACGAGCGTCGAGGACATCGATGGTTCGAGCGCATGTTTCCGCTTGCGTGGTGAGCGCTTCAAAGGTGAGAAGATACCGCTTGGAGCATTGGTGGACTTCAAACCGAGGAGAAACCGGCGTGCAGGACTGCATCGGGCACGAAAACGCAAGTATCTAGCCTGGGCTCTCACGAGTTTCGCTGGAGCAGATCTTCCAGGAAGGAAAGAGAAGGTTCCACCACGACTACGTCAACCTCACCAGACGGAGAGGATAGTACTTCAGGAGAAGCGCATGAGTCTTGTTGATGACGAAGATTACGAACCTGAGCTTGTCTTGGATGCAGCTCAACGAGCTCGAGGCAATGAAGAGGGTGAGGACGTCGACGTCGTCACGTCGGGGAGTCGGGGCGGTTGAGGATACTTCTGATCTACCCCACGTATCGTTTGGAATGGCATCGTACACAAAGACGATTTCAAGAAAATGGTCAAGCTCGACAAGATATGGGAGACCGTCCAATGGTTTTCGTGTGATGAAGGCAACAAGACCCGCTGGCCTTATCCTGATGAGTGGGCCATGATTCGAGATACGGTAGATGTGGACAAGGATGGAAAAGTACATCCAAAGAAGAAGAGAGATGACACTGGCAGCTCAAAGGATGCAGCGCCGGCAGAACGCGCAAAGATTAAAGCTCCAAGCGGGAAGAGGATAAAAGCCATGCTCAAAGAGCGGGACGGCGATCAATGGATGTACAATTGGGGCAAGTGGCCCCTGTGTTCATGCTGACGACCAGTTGGAGCACGAGGCTCCGCAAAAACCGTGGGGCATACGGAAGAATACCAACAAGGTCAAGAATCCAGGCAGGTTCTTGGCGGATCTTGATTGTGTGATGATCATCATCAACCCGGTCTATGGATCAGTTTTGTGGATGGGCCCAAACGCCTGCATGGTGGTCATTTATGCCTGGAAGTCCACGCTAAGCGTCCATCCCCAAGAACGACCAAGATGATGCGTCGCCGGAGTACGAAAATGAATCGAGAGATGAGAGCATCGAGGCGGGCGGATGATCTTGAATCTTAGGGCGCGTCGCTATCCACTATCCTGGCGCTGTGCTGCGCGCGCGGGACATTTTCAATCTACTGATTGGCTAGGATAAGGAACGACATAGCTAGATCTTTTATGTTAGGAAATTTAACGCGTCGTTTGTGTAGCAATTTTCAACCTTTAGGTTGACTAAATTGGGGAACGACACAGGTTACAGTTAGATCTTTTATTTTATCCACCTTTACGCGTCGCGCGATTCGCCCGCGTCGCTGCGGTAAGTGTAGACAGTGTTGATCTACTCCGTCAATTGTCAGGCGTAGAAGACAGACTTATGTGTTTATCTATATTTTATCACATTTGTAAGCCACTCACACTGGACAAGGTAGCAATGCCGAGAACGCACCATATTGTGCGAAATGCGGTTGCTTTAGAAATCGTAAGACCCGAAAGCCACGCCAGTGCCAGTTTCTCACCAGCTCAGTTAGCGGAGGCCCAGGCTGATTTTCCCAGGTCTTTGGCTTAGCGTGCGCCCCACGTTCTGGAGCAACGCTGCCCCTACCACCGTGCCCAAGGGGTCGAAGACGTCTTCCGTGCAGCTCCCATCCGCGAATCGTTTCTTGCCCTTTGCTTTCACCCTGGCCTGAGCCTTCGCAACGTTCTTCTTGATTGAGGTGGTGTACGGAGCGCGGGCCAGAGTGAGCGCCTTCTTGAAACCTTTCAGACATCGCTGTCCAGCAAGAACTCTTTCACACCC